CCCTCCCTACAGGAAGCCATGCCCATGTGCCGCAGCAGGGAAAATGGCTGCGGGTCGTGTTCGTCACCCGATGCGGAGTTCGCGAACGGAAGCAAAATTTTGCGAACGGTGCTGTTCGTGAACCGAATTGTTCGTGAACAGAAGCGTTCGTGAACCAACGTATTACTGTATATGCTCAGTCCAGGATAGGCAGAGAAAACAGGAAACTCCAGAACAATGCAAAAAAGATAGAGCATCAGTGTTCCAGATACACTGCTGAACCCCAGTCCCCAGAGTGTGTACTATCAATGGTGCCCATGCACAAATAGAGCTAATTAAATCAAGGCAACATATCACAAGTAAACGTACATTGCATCATTATATTTGCATAACATATGCCATGTTTGCTGCCATTTCTCAGGCATCCCTACAGGCAGGAGTCTAAATTCCATTATGTGTCTTACAGCTATTCTGGGATAAAAATGCAAGACTTACAGAGAGAGCACCTGCTAAGACCCTACTCAACTGAATTTGTTCTTATTTTTTTTTAAAGTGTGGACCCTATGTATGGAAAAGTTCCCTATTACCTACTTTTCCTTCCAGAGAGCAGCTCTCTACCCCCTCAATTTCCATAACAGACAACAATCAGGTACAAAATAGGTCCTCCAAATAGATCCACTCCAGATACCCAAAGGACATGATTTGCAGAAGGAGTTCTATTTCAGTGAAACAATTTGTGTGTTATTTGCAAGGAGATTCAAATGTATGGGAGAACCCTCCTCCCCTGTAGGAAAGGCAAATAAGAATTCCCATTTACTGATCAGGTAGTGTACTGTATAGACCAATAGCCAAAGACTGCAATAGGCTCACAGGTCTCACTCCCATAACCTTTAGACCACTCTACACACGCCTTGCTATTTGGACTGATAGTCAACCCTTTGGGGGAACAATCCAGTAGATTAACTGACTGCTTTTCTCTACTGATATTTTCATATACAGTGATAGAATCAGTCATTGTACTTCACTGGTATATTCCTCTTAGAAAATTGAGGCTTCTGCCAAATCCTGTACATGTCAGTTCTGGATCTCAACATTACATTTTTACTTGTCATTTCATAGAACAGCATCTTACTCTGATCTATCTTATTAGTCATCTATCCAGATCATGGTTGCCAAGCACATGTAAACTTCTTATGCATTTTTATCCAATGTTTAGGAAACCAGGTGTCTAGGGTACTTCCATCCTGGAGTTGTGATTGCATAATATCTCAGCTATTATGAAGAGAGGCAGTGGTACATCATCTTCTGAAATGGTCATCTCTGGATCCAGGGATTTTAGATAACTATTGTCCAGTCACCAACCTCCCTTTCTCAAGTATGATTGTTCAGAAAGTGGTGGTAGACCAACTTTTTAACACCCTAAAATAAGCAGATTGTTTGACCCCTTTTCAATCAGGGTTCATACCTGAGTACAGAACAGAGACTGCATTGGTCATTCTCTTGGATGACTTATGCCAGGACCTGGATGGGGAAAGTGTTTCCTTTGTGCTTCTGTTTGTGAAGCTCTTCAGGGCAGGCAAACTCCAGAAACAAGAATCACTTGGACTTATGGAAAGGTCTTTATTCCTATTATGGTAATGTAAAGAATCTTGAAAGCCTGCAAAGAAATTCTCCACTTCAACTTATTCCTAACATAATTAAGTTAGAGTTACTCTGGAAGAGATTATTCAACAGTTTGGGGTGTGATATTATCAGTCCAATGATGATACCCAACTTTATATCACCACTGCAGGTTGTGGGGGAGATGCTGCTGATGTCCTGTCCCGGTATCTGGAGCCTGTAAAAGCCAGGATGGGAGAAAACAAACTATAGCTGAACCCAAGTTAGACAGAAAATTGGGTTTTTCTGTTAACACCAGCATTATCTCTGGATGGGCAAAAGAGCATGTTTACAATTTGGGTGTTCCTCTGGATTCATGCCTCCTGCTTGAATAGCAGGTGGAGGTCATGGTTAGAAGGGCCTTGGCTGGTGCTTGAAATACAACCTTACCAGATACAGGAGGACCTAGCTCCAATAACATATGCCCTCATTACTACCAGCCTAGACTACTACAACACACTTTACATCGGGCTGCCCCTTAAAGATTATGTGCCATCCAGTTGTTTTTGACTCCTAGTGATCACATAGATAGATTTTCTCCATGATAATCTATCCTTAACCTGGTCTTTCAGGTCTTCCAACAGTGCACTCATTGCCATTATAACTGAGTCCATCCACCTTGCTGCTGGTCGTCCTTTTCTTCTCTTTCCTTCTACTTTCCCCAGCATTAGAGCCTTTTCCAGAGAGCTGGGCCTTCATATAATGTGTCCAAAGTAGGATAATTTGAACCTGGTCATTTGTGCCTTGAGGGAGAATTCTGAATTGATTTGTTCAATGATTCATCAGTTTGTTTTCCTGGTAGTCCATGGTATTCTCAGGAGTCTTCTCCAACACCAAATTCAAAGGCATCAAATACTCTTCCTATCCTGCTTCTTTAAAGTCCAACTTTCACTTCCATAGAGTGTCACAGAGAATATTGTGGCTTGCATGGTTCTGTAGATGTAGACACATCACAGCATTTGAATATCTTTTCCAAGGTCTTCATGGCTGCTCTACTGAGTGCTAGTCTATGGATATTTCTGAGTAGCCCTTTAAAACCTATTCAGAAAATACAACTAGCCCTGCACTGTTTGCCAATTAGTTCCCAAGTACAATTTCAGGTGCTTATATTGACCTATAAAGGCATTCATAGCTTGGCACTGGATACCTGCAGGATTGCCTATTCCAGCTGGAATCAACCTGACCCACTTTTGATCTCATACTTCCAAAAGGTGAGAGGGGCTGAAGTTAGAGGATGCTGCTTTTCAGTGGCAACACAGATGATTCCCAATGGAGGTCAGGCCAGCACCCTTCGTGTTAACCTTCAGGAAGATTTTAAAAATGGAATTATTTGGAAGGGCATTCTCCTAGATTAAGAACTATGTCATCTTTTATTTATTGTTTGTTTTTACATTTATTATTGATTTTATTTCTTGATTTTTATTATGTTATCTTTTGATCATACTACAGATGTTTTAAATTTTTGTTGTATTATATACTATGGAAGCTGACAACAGTCATCATGTTGCAATGCAGTATAAGTCAAACAAACAAACAATCACTATGTGCAAGAGAGAGGCAGAAATGCCAAGTCAAACTTCTGCTATAAACATATAGTATAGCCATCATTCTTAGTCCTTATTTTTGCACAAGCACCCCCTCCCCATATTGTTCATTTGTTGTAGATTATTTCTTAAGCTTGTGAAAGTTTATTAATTTGATTATGGATATAGCTATAGTTTATGTAGAATAGCTGGAACTCCACACATTCAGCAACATTTAAAACCTTGACTGGCAATTATCAGGGACATTAAGTAGAAGTGCAGTGACACAGTTTAATCATGAATTGTCCTATAACATGCTAATGTTCCTATAGGCTCAATATCTCCCTTACTAGCACCACCATGTGAAACAGAAGATTTAGCATCTAGATGACCTATTAAGTATCCATACATGCAATTATCCCTCACACATACAGTATAACTGTTACATACAGCTGCCCACTTAATTATTAGCTTTTAGCAATAATTGCAATATAGTTAGAGGTAAGTGATTTAATATTCTCAAAATCTGCACTTAAGAGAGAGTTGATCCATATGCAACAGAATTTATCGGATATGCTTTTTAAGGGTCTGTCCCCAGATATTAAAGAAAGTTAAGAATGAATGATATACTGTAGCTATATACATATACCCTGTGATACGTGTATCCAGAGTAACATCTTTTAGCTCCACAGCAACAATAATTAATCTAATCTAAGTATATTTGAAAAGATTCAAGTCTAAGATGGCAAAACTGTATTATTAGAATATTGCTGACCAAGAATAAAAAGTGACAAATGAAGTTGTTGCAGCAATCATTCATTACATTTCTGATGAAAAGCAGCCATACAAATATCAGCAATTAAGGGAACCCCAGAAAACTAAGTTTAGTGCTCTATGGTAAAACAATCTCGCCCCCCCCCCCTTTTCCTTATAACAATTAGGAGGGAATGTAACTACTGTAGGTAAAAAAAAAAAAGCACATTATTTCTGGAAGCTAGAATGTCATGTGTGTGAGCAAACGAGAGAGAACTAAAAAAATAAGACTAACGCTGCAATTCCATTGGTACTTTTAAGAGCAAACCTCACTAAAACCAGTGGGGTTTACTTAGGGCACAGATGCGCTAAATCAAGTTTCTTTCTCCCCAGTGCTGCTAGGATCCACCCCTTCCTAATATTGTATAGCCATTTTGCCTGTACCTCCATTCCATCTCCTTCCACACATTAGTCCTTCCCGGTTGTCCCTCGCGTATACGTACATAAAAACACACAAAACCCCCCAGAAAGACGCAAACACCCCGCCTCGCCTCGCCTCAAGGAACTGCAGCTCCCTACCCCTCGGCCGGTCTCTTCACAGCATCGGTAACCGTAGCAACCGCAGGTGCGGGAGCCATTGGCCAGTTTAACACGAGGCAGCGACCAATAGAGATCCGAGCTAAGCCGCGCTCCGCCAATCCGGGCGAGGCATAGGGCAGGGCGCCTTGTTGACGTCTAACGAAGGGAAGGGGGGGTGCGAGGGGCGGGAAGAAGCGGGAGGAGAGCCTGCGAGGGAGGAGGAGGAGGAGGAATTTGTGCTGCTTGGCTGTGGCACATTAGTCTCGCTACCATGGACACCCCGGGGTAGGGCCCTTCCCGGCCGGGTGGCCGCGGCCCCCCCCCCGGGAAGGGCGCCACCCCCGCCCGTCCCTGGTACCAAGCAGACT